ACTTTCAGAGAGTCACAGATCACAGCAGAGTCAATTAATAAGGCAGAAAAAAACGATAGGCTGCTAAGCCTTTTATGGGCCGATCAGATCATAAGACGATGATCAGCCCGGCCCAAAAAGTACGTTGGCCCACCGGGAAAGTGCCCGGTCTGCCAGATGGCCAGTCCGCCCCTGAGTACTAAAATTGAATAAATAATTTTGTAGTGCACAAGAATATCAATATAAAAACGACAATAAAACAACATAATAAAGACACACAGGAAGATTTAAACAAAAAATCTGAAATTGCACACAAACACAGACGTTTTTAAAACAACCCTGTTTTCCCAATAGACTTGAATTAAAAATTGTAATTTTTTATAAACCTGAATATAGAAACCAATTTAAGATATAGCAAGAAACATCTTAAAAATACCAATGACAATCCGTAAAATATACCAGTCAAACTTGTAAAAAGAACTGCAGAATTCTGAAGAAACATCTCAAAACATTTTTCAATAAAACATTAAAATAATATAAAAATAAATAAATATATATATATATATATATATATATATATATATATATATATATATATATATATATATATATATATATATATATATATATATATATATATGTTAGGGTTGGGCATCTAAGCTATAATGTCGGTCCGATACGCATCTCGATACAAAGAATACGATCCGATATAGCGATACATTTGTGACATAGCGATGCAACACGATACGATTTACACCCATATCACGATACAATGCGATAATTCAGCACTAACCTATTGGATCAAGTTTATGAGATGATGTAAGAAAGGATGCTGTGCCATTGAATGAGTTTGATTATTTATTAACCAAGTAAAACGAAAACTTTTTTTACAAACTGGCTTTTCTCTCAGAGCCAGAGTGTCAGTTTACAGTAGAGGGCCATTTTAGAACCTATAGCACATATTATTTAAGTATTTTCAAGATAGACAGAATGTATAAGTGCAATATATATTATAAATGTATAGATTTGCACTCTTTCAACATAAAGGTTTACCATTGCACAACAACAATTGTGATTTAACTTTTCAACTATGAAAACAAGTTTTACAAAGAAATTTTACCACTGAATATTCAAAACTTAAGGTCGTGAACTAGCAGTGTTATGCTGCTTTGAAACAACAGGCTAATAAAAATATAAATAAATAAAAATTAACAGGAGGAGGTGTTTAAAACCTTTGTTCTCCGTGACACTAGGCTGAATATCTTTGCAGATGAACAATGCAATAGCATTCGTTATAGGCGTAGAGAGCAGAACTGTTGCGCATGGAGATAACTTTCAATGCTTTTCTCACCACTTTTGGAGCTGGTAGCTACAGTTGAAGCATAGCAGGAAGCCGGGGATGCAGGAACACTGGAAGATGCTTCCACAACAACACTGAGACACCGCTTCAAGTGAGATATCAGATTAGTCGTACAGCCCGTGTATTTTACAGATGCGCGGCACATTTTGCAAATTGCATCTGTCCTGTCAAGTTGTCCATCCTTTTTGCAGAATCCATAATGTTGCCATACTTTAGATTTAAAACTCAGTGAGGAATAAAATGTTTGTTTTGCTTCTCGCGCTTTCTGAGGGCACACTACTAACTACATCCGCACACCTGATACACTGAGTTGTAACTTAGTGTAAGTGTACACATCCGCAAGCCCGTTGCTAATGCATACTTTATGTGGGTTGATTAAATTATGCGCCAAAAACAGGTTGACAACACTTGTTAATAAATAAAAAATACATTCTATATTAAAAATATAAGCTGTATCTTGAAAAAAAAAAACGATGCATCTCGCAAAAATCGATGCATCTCGATTTGCTTCCAAAATTTCATTCATCCTCTGCTGCTCTACCGATGCACTCGCATCGTACACGCACATGACCGCGTATCGATACATATCGGTTAATCTTCCCATCCCTAATATATATGTGTGTGTGTGTGTGTATATATATATATATGTATGTATATATAGAAATGCAAATTAAAGAAACAAATTGCTCAAGTATCAGGGAAAATCTTAATACACTTAAAATGTTGTTTAAAAAATAAAACAAAATAGTGATGTAGACATTTGACACATTAGCTTTCTCTTTCATCCTCCATCCCTGTCAGGAGCAAGTTGTAGCCACCTTGTAATGCATTTTTCCACTTTTTTATCAGTGGCGTGGTATAGACATTTGTCCTCACTGCATCTGTGATTAAAAGATAAACAGATAATTAGTAGTAAACAAGTACTAATGTTTAAAAAAAAAAATGCTTGATCTCATAAAAGTAAAACATAAATGTGACTGTATATAGATTTTTTTTGTTCCTCTGGTTATAATTCAAAGACATACAGAGATGGAACAGACCCTAATTGTATTGAAATGTATATTTAAAACCAACTTACTGAATATGACAGTCCAAAAGGGGAGTACACGAAAGGCCACTTCTTAATTTGGCCCGCTCCAGTTAATTTGTTTAGCCAAGGAGTTAGCCAAAAGCTTTTCCAGGATACGGCAAACTGCTTAGTGGAAAACACCAATGATTCCAAAGTAGGCTACCTACAAAGCAAAAAATAAATAAAAAAAAATAAAAAAAAATAAAATAAAAAAAAACTTAAAACACTTTGAAATTAGCAAGAGCTTGAACTTACCAGTTTCTTCATTTGTTCGGGCTGCTTCTTTAGTTGATTTTCAAGCTTTTCCAAATCAAATTTGACAAAAGAAGGTCAAATGTGTTTACATCTGGAATTTCATCACGTCTGTTTTGGTTTTGCTGTGAGAATCAGGCCCAGCTGCTGCTTTATGACGTTGCATGATTTTAAAACTTCAGTCACTCATGCTAAAAAAGAAAAATAACAGATTAGTATAAATCAACCTGTAGCTTATTCTCATACAATTTGTGTAAATACAACAGTGGGTTAGACACTGCTGATATTCTCTAGTTGATCTTTACTTTTTTAGCCGCATTAAACCTTAACAAATTTAGTGATGTCTTGAATTCTTACAAAGACATCACAAGATGCAATAAGTTCTGTCTTGATCTCTAACTGCACTAGAACAAGGACTGTAAATGTTCATAGGTGTACTGGAATGTACAGTATCTGTGCATCTTGATGGTGGTCTTAAGACTTCTGCCATAGTTATTGATGGTGATGGTACTTGTGGTGCTGAATTGATTTCTGAAATCTTCATACCTGCCTTTTATACAGCCTCTTTGTTCCAAGTAATTTTTCTTCATCATGGTATAGTTGTGTCTTTACTGTCCCTTGATCAGATACATTTACAAAACATTACTTTAGTATAGTGCCAGGGCAAAACTCACAGGTTGTAATAGATCAATGACATTATGTTGACACTATGTTTAAAATAATTGCAAACAAACCTGTTCTTTCTTTAGATGCATGACGGGCGATCATCGTCGTCATCTGTCTACCAGTCAGAAGTCACAGTTGCTTTTGGATGTTTGAGTCGAGCTTCCTCATATGCATTTATAATAAAACAAAAATCGCATTGTTGTTAAACTCCCGTTAAAAAAAAAAAAAAAAAAAGTTCAAATCCTGAAATACTATCAAAGTTAATTAATGCCTATAATACCTATAGTGTAAATAATCAGTACACTGAAGGTTGTACAAGATTTATTCGGAGATTCATGCAGAGTGACAGCCTTATGAATCTGAGACATAGATTTGTTAGATGGCCAAGCACATGCATTATTCTGTACCCATGAAGATTAACCTACCATTGTAAAAAATGTTTGATGATGATGATAGCCAATAACAATAAACCATTTCAGCTGTTTGTGAAGCAATTAGTAATGCAAGGTCTGAAAAGCTCAATCTATGTTGAAAATGCATCAGCAGTTTACAGCTTATAATGGACTTTAAGCACCCAACTATAACATGCCTATTCATGTTTAAAAGAGTGTGCCATTGACATCTTTGGTCGTGATGTGCTGCAAAATGATCTCACTAACCTTTGTTAAACAAGAACAATAAGACTTAACCAACAAATATTGTTACCCATTCGTTTAAATTGACAGAATTTATCACTGTCAATAAAAAAAAAAACATCAAAATCTGCTTTAATACGTTCAGTTTTACATTAACTGAACATTACAGCTTGAACATAAGATATAAGTGATTCACATAGGCTAACACATATGAATTAAAGCGCATACTAATATATTTCTCTTGGATAATTTAAAGAGAATAGTTAACAGTGTCGAGTTTAGATCACTTTTTGTGACCCACTGCATAAACAAGTTAAACAATAACTGTAACGAGGAGACTGACACGGACGGATCCATTATGCAGTATTTATTGCTCAAGCTCTCATTTACACACACAACATGCACTAACGTGCAAACACACAACAACAACAGTCTATGATGAATAAAGACTGGCGATGGATAGACATGGTGAGTATTACCAGGCATAGATCGAGGGCAGGCTGCTAGTATCAGAGTCCGTGAACCAGGCGTGAGTCGTGGGCAGGTAGCAAACATCAGAGTCCGCATAACAGGCGTGGTTCGTGGGCAGGCAGCGAGTATCAGAGTCCGTATACAATGCAAGGGTCGTGGGCAGGCAGAAGGCAAAGCAGAGTCAAGAAACAGGCTAGAGTAATACACAAGAAATCATGCAGGGATAACACTCAGAAATGCTGGCCGGGGCTAAACAAGACTTCGCCCTGAATGAGCGTTTGGTGCTGGCTTATAAAGGGTACGTTGGTCATTAACAGGATTTTGTTCAGGTGTGCAAGATCAGAGTGAAAGGATGATGTAATGCTTAGAAGTCCGGAGATGCCTCTGCTGGCCAGCGAGGGGAATGACTGGGACCGAGTCGGTGACAATAACATTTTATTAATCCAAAACGATTAGTTTTTATTTACACATGATCACAGAATTAATACTGTTGGATAAGTATACGCCTGTACAATGATTTTTTCAACACCCACAGTACTTTATAATGTTAAATCAGAAAAAAAAAAAAAAAGTTTTGCCATGTTAGTGTTAATCTAGTATGGGTAACTGCAGCCTGGAGAAATGGGCGTGGTAAAAGGTAGGGGCGTGGCGAAAGGTTTTTCATTGGTCAAAAAAATTTTCCGGTAGAGGCGTGGCAAAAGGTTTTTTATTGGTCAGGTTTTCTTTTCGGTCAAATGTGTTGGCCAATCAGCAATCACCAAACGCTTGCACAACGGCGTCGGTAAAGACATGATGTTGACTGCTGTAAACAGACATGTATTAAGATTTACGATCAAAACAGTTTGGTAATATGTTTAGGTGTCCGTTTTGTGTGAATATTTTGAGAGCTTTACACATGATACACACTCATCTGCAAAGTCACAAACCTCGCACAGTTTATCACGAACGTAAGTACTAGTTATTTTGCGATATGCATTTTAATATAATTTGTTTGTGTCATATGTGATGACGTGAACAGCGATCTCTCATAGAAATCTGACACATGCCAATGTGTACTTGCAAATTAGCCTACATTCATGTTTATTTTACATCTAAAACTTGTCATTTATTAACATGCATTTAAAAATATAGCAAATATGTTCACTTAGAGGAAAAAAAGTGCACTAAAATCATAGTATAAAATATAGGCTAGGAACATGCATGTACATATTTGTAATTCCAATGGTTGAAAACATAAGTGGACTTTTTTGCACCATTTCACAAAATTTGTTGCATATATGACACATTTTATGCAAGTAAAATCCAAATATGAATTTGTATGTCAACAAGTAATTTCATATTTTTCATCTATGCATAAGGGATGTTACTTTTTTGTTACATTTGAAACTTCTTATTTTAAACATGCTTTACTTTAAATGATTTTAATACATGACTTTTTGATGATGATTCTTGCAGATTTATCATTTATATTTTATATTTGTTTAAATGTTTATATACATTTTATAACATTACCTAGGACATTCCAATGTAGTGTTTCTCCAATAACTGTGAAGTCTTTGCTCATGGTAAGTTTTACAATGTACAATGACAACTGCATAATTTTAGAACTAAATAACATCTTTTACTATTAGCCTTGTACATTGCTCCTGAGGTTGGGTTTGACTATTCTGAGGTGTGTCTTTGCTCAACACTTTCTTCAACACTTTCTCAGCCAGTATAAAAAAAGAATTTTTAGCTTTGTAGTAATTGTCTCTTTTATTTAAAACAGGCTATATGACTTGCATAAGGAGATTGTGGTGTGGGTTCTTGCTTGAAGACTCAGGGTAAATAAAAAATCTTTTTATACATTTAAAGTGATGTCAGTTAGCACTTTGCAATTAATTTTTGTTTTCCCTCAAGGTCTCCTTAAGAACGAAAAAGACCTAGAAATATGAAATTTTGAAATATATATATACATACATACATACACACTGGCCACTTTATTAAGTACACCTTACTACAGAGGTGTCAAGGTCATTTCTTGGAGGACCGCAGCTCTTCACAGTTTTGCTCCAACCCTAATCTAACACATCTGATCCAAAAAATCAAGGTGATCAAGACTCTTTTGAATGCCTTGATTATTTAGAGTAGATTTGTTTGATTACAGTTGGAGCAAAACTGTGCAGAGCTGCGGTCCTCCAAGAATTGACTTTGACACCTATGCCTTACTAGTATCGGGTTGGACCCCATTTGCCTTCAGAACTGCCATAATCCTTCGTGGCATAGATTCAACAAGGTACTGGAAAATTTCTTAGAGATTTTGGTCCATATTTACATGATAGCATCACGGAAGTTTCTGCAGAATCTCCTGTTCCACCACATCCCAAAGGTGCTGTATTGGATTGAGATCTGACTATATAACTATATGTGAGCAGTACGATTTTTAAAATGTCTCAAACACTGCTTTTCAATTTACAACTACCAATGTAGCAGAAATCACTTTTTTAAAGTAAATTTTTCCACTAGATGGCAGCACAATACCATTTATTGTGGATTGCTGCACTTGTAGGCTTGTTTTTTATTCTTAGTTTAAAGACAATGAAATTGCAGTGCAATCAAATTTACTAATTATTTAATCAAACTTACAACCTAATTAATTTACACATTATACTTTCCCAGTTATTACATTCCATCATAGTTGTGCTTTAGTGTCATCCTAAATGATGGGACTTAAATAGCACAAGTGTCATAAAGGCTCTTCAATGCTTAAAACCTGCCAATCAGCTTGTGTTTGTAATTATCAAATATATGTGTGTATGTGTATATACATACACATTTCATTTTACAAAATATGTATACATGCATTTCCCTTCAGCTATGGATCCCAGAGAAGGTCTTAGTGATGTATGTTTAAATTTATTTTATTTTTTCAATTTATTTTATAGTTTTTTTTTTTTTTTTTTAGTTTTCATTTTTACATTCGTCATTTATTATTTTGTGTGTGTGTGTGTGTGTGTTTCGTCTTTAATTCAGCTACCATCAGACCTGTTCTGAAAGGTTCTTTTAGATGTTTATGATGAAGGGGATGGAGCATTCCTCACTGTTACTTGGTCAAATATAGAGTGGAGTTCAAGCTCTCCAGATGTTAATCCTGTGGTTGGCTCTACAAAAACACCATTGGATACTGTGGCAATTGGAGAAAAAGGGATGTACAGAGCATTCAGACAAGAGTTTAATGGCTTCTGCTCTATGCACTGCTACTACACGATGAATGGATGGATTTGTACTTAATGGATTGTCATGAACTGAGGGATGTATGGATTTTTAGTCAGTGGAAGGCATGTTTTTTAAGAGATTGTTTTATTTGTTTTTTGATAATTAAACTGAAATGTTTAATGAACTTGTGTCTGTGTTCTAATTAAATTGATTAATATCACTTAACATAAGTTTATTAATGAGTTAACTTTGTTATAAATCTGTGATATTTGAACAATATATATTTACCCGACATAAAATGTATTTTCAAAGTCTTTTTAATTTAAATTATTTTAGGCAATAATTTCAGTGACACTGGGAAACAACTAAGTCACAGTTTAAAATGGTATAGAATAGAACACTTTTCTAAGTAGTGCATTTATACATAGCCAGTAAAAAGAACCAAAACATATAATTTGTCTAATGATATTTAAGCATTTGTATCCTTAAGAATGCTGATTTACCAACTATTTTAATGAAACTTGTGATTACATTTAATTCATTCTTTATTCTTAACACCAGTAGCATAAAGTAGAATGATCCAAACAAGCAGCTTAAGTAATATATTATTCTAATTGGCCAACGCATTTGACCGGAAATAAAACCTTTGACCAATGAAAAACCTTTTACCCCGCCCCTACCGGAAAAAACTTTCGACCAATGAAAAACCTTTTGCCACGCCCCTACCTTTTGCCACGCCCATTTCTCCAGGCTGCAGTTACCCCCTACTCGTGTTAATGGATTCGTCTACAGAAATAATTAAAATAGTTTTCAGTTACTACACACGTTACAATCTAACATTGTGTAAAAGGAACAGGAACTTTCAGACGTTTGTAACTGTTAGCATTAGCATACATTAGCTCCAGTCGTGTTTCTTAAAGCAAGTTACATTTCGTATCAAACTGTTTTAAATTACTAAACGCTGTTACAACTAAACACCGTGGAAATAATTTAAGCTCTAAATTCGCTAAGTATACAGTACACAAGCAGTAAAAAGCTTACCTTTCTGACCGGAATACACAGGAAAATTTTGAAAAAACAAACTTTTTTCTTCTTGTGATCTTCATGCCATGGTGGTTGACAACCAGCTTTTTGGAGCATTACCGCCACCATCTGGATTGGAGTTTGGATCAGGAGCTTACTCACGCATGTGTTTATTATGAAACCAACTTCTGCTTTAAAAAAAACAGTCAGCACTGGGGCCTGTTTCAGAAAGGAGGTTAAGTGAAAACTCAGAGTATTTTAACCCTGAAATGAGAGAAACTCTGGGTTTTCCGTTTCAAAAAGACAGGTTTGTTAAACTGGAGAAAGCAGGGTAAGTCAAGCCTGTTTCTGAACGAGAGGTAACTTTAACTCAAAGTCAGTTACCATGGTAACTTACTCTGTGAATCTAACCTGGTCCAGAGCAGGTTTTATTCTCTAAACTCAGAGTTTTTGTTGGTCTAGTCCCCTTTTTTAAAGATGAAGCGTATTTCTCACCTTAGCCTTACGTCTCCGCACACCTATTTTAGAGCTCATTTTGGACATGTGCATAAAAACGATTGATGGAGACGTCATGATTCACATAACTTTTGAAAATACGCATAATAAAACATGTGCATAACTTAGTAGGTAAAATATACACATACACACATAGATATACACATATATCTATGTTCGGGAGTTTTCCTGGATGTTAGTATGCATTTTTTTTAAAATGAAAATTTTTATTTGACATCACTTTTCTACATTGATGGATCACTTATCGCACGGGCATTCCTGACAAAAAGCTTGTGTTTGTGTGTATGAAAATGTACTATTCACTCTCCCTGTTAAATTTGATCTAATCATGTGCTGAAATACACCTCCTCTCCTGCTTTCACTGCTCATACTGACGGAGCGATTAGTTTGTGAATGAATCTCCATTATGAACGACTCGTTCGCTAGCCGACAATAATACAATTTTCTGGCAGCGCAGCATCTCGTTGTCATATTTCTTTTGCATTGTTTGCTGATTTTATTTAACAAACCTAGCATAAACCGAGTGTTTAGTGCAAGTTGGTGCTACTTTGCCTTATGGTGAATGCAGTAAGTGACTATAGCTATTATTATCAATAACGTGACCTGTTTAGCACAAATTTCAAAACATACAAAAACGTAAAAAAACTTAATCCTATGAAATGTTCTGCCTTTGTGCTTTGTTTTCTTTGTTTGCTCGTTACTACACTCGTAGACAGCGCTTAAGCCCAGCATCTTCACGTAATAACACTGTCTTGACTAGTGCGGTTGAATGACATTTGTCCTGGGAGCACTGTACCAATGTGGCGGCGCTATAGACGCATGCTCAGGGTCCCTATGCGATATCTAGTGTATATGTCTATGTCACAAATTGAGGAGCGGGGAAAGGAGGCGGAGTGGCGTGACAACGCGGGGAATCCTTCACAAACTGAGGAGCGATCACAAACCGAAAGTGGCGAGAGCGTCAAAGTAGCCAGAAGTCATTCATTTTTTAACGAGAACCGGCGGCGAGAAACAGCGGCGCGTCTTCATTGGCCATGACGCGGTTCGGCGGCAAGCAATCAGAATGAAGTAGTCCACTGCTTGAGCGGAGTTCAGAGAACACAGACCTGTAAACTTTGGTTCCGACCACAGTTGTTCCCAAGAGTTTTATTATTGCGATTCCTGGATTTTCAATTATTAAAAATCGCGACGACGTGGGGCCCCCTAATCACGCGGGGCCCCCCCGCGGTGCGTGCCCTGCGGGCCCGTCCGCTACGCCACTGCTTAAGAACATCATTGAGATGTGAGATGTGGAATGTTCTTTAAAGAATATTATAGCAATAAAACATCTGCACAAAGCTAGCACATTTTATCTGAAACATTTTAAAAACATTTTAAGAGTATTGAAATGGCATCAGATTAAACAATGTTCTCTTAGAAAACATTTTCACAATGTTTCATAAAACCAAAGTAAGAACATTCTCACAGTCACATTAGAGAAATGTTATAAGAACATGATTTCGTTTCAATATCAAGACAGAAAGACAATTAACGTACTAATTTTAACCTGTACTTATTAAAATATACAAAATGCTATGTTCAAATACTTATTGCATGCAAATAAGTAAAACCTAATGGTTTAAAAAATAAATGACAATTAATTAGCATTTCATACAATTATGAATATAAGTATTATGTGTCAGCAAATTATTCTTGTTTAATATACCAGATTTTTAAAATTGTTTTCTTTTTATTAGTTTAATTTGTTACACGTTATACAATGAGCACTAGAATATAAGAAAATGCAGTGCTTTAAACTTTTTTTCCACATTGCTACTGTAAAATTAAATATGTTAAATGGTTATAGAGAGTGTTTTATTTTTGGAAACAAAAAAGAAAACAAACAATGTCATTAACAAACATGTAGAATATTTAGAGAATATCCCAGGTAGTAGGCGTAGTCGCGACCTTGCGCAACGTTCCCTAAAAGTTCCCTAAAGGTAACAAAAGTCCAGAACTTTTACAAAACATTAGGGATATGTTCTTAAAACGTTCTCTTTTAATCCTAAAACAACGTTTTAAATGTGACTTTAGGATGTTCTGTTTTGGTCATTCTATGGTCACATAATAACGTTACAAAGAGAACCTTCTTTAACATTAACAGAACGTTTTAACATGGTTCTCCTTTAGTCATAGAATAATGTTTTGAATATGACTTTAAAAGGATGTTCTGTTTTGGTCATTCTATGGTCACATAATAACATTACAAAGAGAACTTTTCTAACATTAACAGAACGTTTTCACATGGTTCTCCTTTAGTCATATAACATTTTGAATATGACTTTAAGAGGATGTTCTATTTTGGTCATTCTATGGTCACATAATAATGTTACAAAGACAACCTTTCTGACATCACAGACTAAAATGCAAAAAAGGTGTGTTATTAAGGCCATTTGAAAATGAAAGCAAACTTCGTCCC